GGCCCCAATTCCTTTCTGGATAAGGAACCAACCACCCGTTATTAATCCAGGCTCGCAATTCCTTGTTACTCCGCACGAGCTCGCGGGGGATCTTATACTCCGGCACACTGTTGTACAGCTTCTCTGGCGGTTGATCGTCTGACCATTTCAAGATTGTCCAGGACTTTGTGCGCTGGTCGAACTCCGCACGAAAGTCAGGCCGTTCCAGCTCCAACCTAGAGCTAGACCTGTTTCAGTGAAACGCGCCCGACCCTCTTCGTCAACACGAACACCACCCAATTTTTTGATGACGTCCATTCCCAGGAGCAGATCATAGCCGAGCAGCCCTCCGTCCACGACCAGGGCTTGTACAGCTACTAGGCCCATCGCCGATGCTTGCGCGGATGACGCTTCCCACAAGAGGTTAGCGAGCCCCCGCCAACAGTCAGAACTGGAATATTTTTCTTGTTAGATGCCTTGCGCACAAGGGTCTGGGTGAACTGGTGTCAATTTATGAACATACAAGAAATCCGCACGTTCACTGCGGGTAGCGCCTTGTTCAGCGGCGATGGGAGAAGACTGGCGCAGCTTACCCCCCTTGCCCGTTTCCTGGACAATACGTGGCCCAGCTTGTCGCACCTACGTCTGCACGGCTTCGGCAGTCTTTGGAGAAGTGGTTCAGTCCGCCACACTTATAGCATGTCCTCAGTTGGCGGTGCGGGTGCTTTGAGGCCGGCTCCGCGTCATCTTTTTAGAATATTCCGGGCTCTGGCCAGTAATTGGTCTAGCCCCAGCTCATTGAGCCTTGACGATGCTCGTAGCAGTCGACTTGCGTTGTCATGCCAGAAAGGCGAGGATTTGGTCGTTTGGAACTGCTTCCTCAAATCGGCCAGAAAGACATGTTTCATCCGGTAACCGTCGTTCGGTAAACTTCCAGGCGACAAAGGGGTTTGCTGCGTATAGAGCTTGTTTTATTTTCCAAGTCTTCATCCCTTAGCTGCTGATACACAGCGTAAGCTCCTTTGGTGAGTCTAAGAGGGATAACCAGTGCGGGATCTTTTAATTTTACACAGCCGGCAGATTTGTTTCCCACCACTCGACCACAGACGGGCCAGCGGGGACACTCTGGTTTAATCAAGTCGAATCTGTCCATGCTGTAAAAAATAGATTGTAACAAAATGAGTCGATTAAACAGTGGACGCAACTCTTTCCGTCTGAAAATGTTTTACACCAAGCACGGGTGAAATGTTTTGCCAATGTCTCCAAGCAACCTGCTTTTTATGGAGCCCAGACACACCTCATTAGCATGTGTAACGCGACTTTCGTGATGCACGAGACCGTGAATATTAAAAGTCACGGACGCCATTTTGAATCTTTTCTTTCCTTATTCAACCCACAGGCCAGGAAGATGCGAGAACGTTTCGAGGTAGGCCGTTTCTATTTTCCCCACATATATATATGCATTATTTACATTATTCGGACTATTGTCCTCATCTTTGTTTCATATTTATTACGTTTCGGCCGTTGTACGCTCCAGCATTCTTCAGGTGGTTGTAATGTCGAACTGAAGCCTTTATTTCACTCACTGGGGTAGAATGTTCTAGTTCCACCTGCCATGTTTAATGGATGTGTTATCAGTTATCTCCTGTTAATTCCCTCTCTAAATTCTCCACTGCTTTAACCAGGTATTGAACACTTTGGGTTCTGTCAGTGGATCTAACTAAAACTGTGCCATGTGTCGTCGTTGTAATAAATATGGTGACAAAGATGAGGACAATAGTGCGAATAATGTAAATAGTTCATAATACCTCATCTCAGAAATATAAATATATATATATTCATGAAGAAATATAGTTTCAAGGTTTGCTATATTTATGGGATAAAGTGCTCAATATCACAGAGAGAGCGTATGTAAAATATAAATATAAAAGGAACATTCAAGTCAACACTCAGAGGCGACAGACTGTTTTATGCTAGATGCAATCGTCAGGCGGTCTAATAATTACGTCTAGTCGCCTCTGAATGTTGACTTCAATATATATATATATATATATATATATATATATATATATATATAGTCATCCACAGACAGACTGTTTCGCTGTATCACAGCTCATCATTATGTGGCTAGACGTTCCGGTTGCCTCTAGCTAGGATCGAAACCCGGCTGAACTGGCGTCAGTCGAAGATTGTACCCGTAAGCTGTTGGCACACAGCAGAGATAAAGGTGAATTTTAAGCCGATTTTTCTTTAGATAAATACAGAGTGACTGAGAGAACTCGATTCGATTTATGAACATACAAGAAATGGTTGTTTTGGCATTGACAATTAATAGTAACTGATACGTCAGAATCGATGAAATGTTTATTTGCCAAATGGTAAATTGAATACACTGGCCCAATTTGCATCGACTCGGACTGAATGATTCAGTAACCAGTTATCTTTCAAATTTGGTAATTTTATTTATGAGGATTCAATCTAATGAACAAATACATATATTTGTCATTTTTTCCATTGGACATTGAATAAAATTGGAAAAACTGATTGAACGAAAAATTAAATAATGGACGAAACCTTTTTTTAACATTATTTACATTATTCGGACTATTGTCCTCATCTTTGTCGACATATTTATTACAACGTTTCGGCCGTTGTACGCTGTAGCTTCAGGTGGTTGGAATGTCGAACTTAACCCTTTATTTGCTTGGGGTAGACTGTTCTTATTGCCTTGTTTAAGGACACATGGCACAGTGGATAAAGGCGTTGGTTAGATCCAGTGACAGGACCCAAAGAGTTGTGAGTTCAATACCCGGTTAAGGCAGTGGAGAACTTGGAGGGGAAATTAACAGGAGATAACTGCGACATCCATTAAAACATGGCACGTGGAACTAGAACAGTCTACCCCAGTGAGCGAAATAAAGGGTTCAGTTCGACATTCCAACCACCTGAAGAAGGCCGGAGCGTACAACGGCCGAAACGTTGTAATAAATATGGCGAAAAAGATGAGGACAATAGTCCGAATAATGTAAATAATGTACATAATACCTCATCTCAGAAATATAGACAGATACTTTTTTTTTCTTTTAGCGGGTGGCATTCAAAGCCGCCGTACTGTGGATGCGACACGCTGGCTGTGGTTTACCCGTCACTGATGTAGCTGTAGGGAAGGAAATTTGTTTGTAATTATACTTTTTTTTACAGTGAGGGTTACACTTTTATGAGGCTCGGGGGCCATCGAGGTAGACTTTAGGAGGGCATTTGTGCGTACAGGTGAGGCAGATAACGATTAACCCTAGCCTTGAATAAGTTAAGATTGTATGATCGGGGAAACATCCTGTCGGGAGTCGATTACCCAAAGCCGTGGTTCGCGGGAAGGAGATTCTAGTAGAACATCCATATATATATATATATATATATATATATGTGTGTGTGTGTGTGTGTGTGTGTGTGTGTGTGTGTGTGTGTGTGTGTAATGAAGGTGGTTTGATACTATGTAAGTGGCGTGACATGTTCTTGCCATGAAGGTTTGCCTTGGCGGGACCAAGGAATGTAGTTCGTCCGAGCACTTTCCATGGAAGTGGCGGGAAAGCAGCGAGAGGCTTGCCACATTCAGCCTGTGGGAAAGGATGAAGGCTGGGAAATAATTCGTCACCCACAAAGGCTCGAAGACGCTTTTGAACTTTATCAAGGCTTGAGAGTGAGGTCTTGGCAGTTCCTGCCCAAATATGACAACAGTACGCCATTTTATGATTGATCTGGCTCTTATAAAGTTAAAGCGGCAGGTGTCAGGTACTTACAGGAACAATACAGGGAGACGACCATTTTATCTGCATCCTTAGCAACGGATCGTATGTATGAGTTCCACTTGAGGTCGGATGTGAGGTTGAGGCCCAAAAGTCTTTCAAGGCAGAGATCTTTCTTGAGAGGACCTTATCCTGATAGGTACTCCTATCTTAAATAATAAGTGTGATCAGTTCGGTAAGATCAAATTGGCAGCTGATCTTAAAATGACCTAAAATCTGTTGTTAAATGGGGCAAGTCATGGCTTGTTATTTTAACACTTGCAAAACGAAATTGCTTACTTGTAATCGTCTGAGAAAACATTTTTTGCCTTCCATCAACATGACTAATACTAAAGCTGCCAGGAGAGAATCTCACTGTACTTTCTCGGGCTAACGTTTTTCGCTGACATGTGGTGGAAAGATTATATTGAATCAATTGCAAAACCTACTGCTAGGAACGTTGGTTCACTGTGTCATGCTAGACAATTTATCTAATTAGAAAACATTTATAAGTACTATTCGTCCATGCTTCGAATATTGCTGCCACATCTGATCGGGTCCTTATACTATACACTAGAAGGCATCGCCCGCTTGATATCGCTTCTCAAAGGAAGATATATTCACTACTTGAAATATTTGAAACATAAAATTTAAATGAACCCTTCATACATAAATTGACTTGTTATAGTTAAGGAAAGTTTTACAAATAGATGCCAACTTGTTGAAGGCTATTTTTGATATGAAAATCAAAACCATCCTTGATTAAAAAAACACTAATGAAGGACAGGTAATTAATGAAATAGCAACAGATCGTATGTAATAGTTCCACTTGAGGTCGGGTGTGAGGTGTTTGCGTTGCATGTGTGTCTGTCAGACAAACAGAGACAGTGAGACACTTTTGTCATGTCAACGAATCCTCGTTGTCACTTCCGTAACTCTTGTTGTAGTAAAGACTTTGTAATCGCAGATACAACTATAGTAACGCTGTTGAACAATACTGGTGTCAGACGCCTTCGAATCGAGAAATAGTATAGCGAATAGAGTAGAGAATAGCGGCCCGTATAGTAAAAGAGGATAGACTAGAACTGGAGATCAATTAGACACACGCTACCTGCCATATATGTGTTTCCTATATGGACGCGTGGTCTACTTCATTCAATAATAGGATTGCCTGTGTTTGCTCACTGGCGATCAATGTTCAAACACAAGTGGCAGCAGCGACAATTTCTTCCCATATAGCAATATTCATTATCTATCTATCTATCTATCTATCTATCTATCTCAGTTTCTTCATACCTATCTGTCTCAGTATTCATTATCTATCTCAGTCTGTACATCTCTATCTATCTCAGTCTGTTCATATCTATCTATCGATCGATCTATCTATCTCACTCTCTTCTTCTGAGATAGATTGATAGATATCAATCTATCTCAGTTTATTCATATCTATCTCAGTCTCTTCATATTTATCTAAGTATGTTCTTGTGATGTCAACGAATACTCGTTTCCACTTTCGTAATGCTCGTTGTAGTAGAGACTTTGTAATCGCAGATACAACTATAGTAACGCCGTTAAACAATACTGGTATCAGACGCCTTAGAATAACACTCGCCCTAATAGCACTTGCTTGATAATAGTCGCTTGAAATATAACCACCGAATAGTCACTAGTATAGAGAAATTATATAGTGAATAGTATAGAGAATAGCGATCCGAATAGTAATAGAGGATAGAATAGAAATGGCGATCAATTAGACGCCACGCTAATTCCCATATTATACATTTCCTTTACTATCACGTGATCGACTTATTCAAAATGGGATCGCCTGTGTTTGCTATCTGTTGATCTGTGTTCAAACTCCAGCGTCGGCAGATGACATTTTATTCCTCGACTCCAGTGTCGGCAGCGACTTCTATCCCATTTTATATAACAGGCTGTTCTGTTGCTCAACTACTGGCTGTAACATCAAAATTGTCCAAATCGTGTAACAGCAAAATTGTCCAACTGTTAGATGAAGCTTTGAACCGTTGTATCTTAGAAATGATTAACGATATCTTGCTCGAAGTTTTTATGACACTATTGGACTCTACTTTGAACAATAAGAATGTATTAACTCTAAGTTTAAATGATGATCCTTATTGCTGTTGTGACCTTCTGATCCAATTTTCCTCTCTGCTGTCCCTTCTCTTTTTAAACTTATTCACCATTCTCTTGATTGTTCTTGAATGGACTTTCAAGATGGAAGCCACAGTATGATTGTTGGGACGATTAATGAAGTATTGAATGATCTTTTTTCTCACACCATTGTTCAGTTGAGAAGACAGTGAGGCTGACACGAAATTATTTTAACCTGTTCTCATTCTAGCTGAATAAATCCAAAAATGTTCCAGTGATTCTTACGACAAATTGTGACAAGATGGCTAAACCTCTCCTCTGAAAACATGGAAGACAGAATCTCAGTTATTTTAATGGTTTCTTAGATATTGTACATTTTGTGGGATGGATAATTATCGCATGCTCTTACACGTTTTGGACAATTTTTCTGTTATACCCAGCATATATATATATATATATATATATATATATATATATATATATATAGGTAACTATACTCGTTTCGAAAAACCTTCGAATTTTTTATTTGCCAATAATCAAATCAATCTCGAAGGAAAAAATGTATGGAAAACTAGACAAGAAAACAATAAAGACCCCATCCCTAAATGGGAAATATTAAAAAAATGTCCCAAATATAAAGCAGGCCAAAAATTTTGTAAGTTATGTACAAAGGAGAAATTAGCCATAGCTTTATATAATCAACCTAACGATCTATTAAACTCTAAAACCGTGATTCTTAACCTAAGTAGGCCTAGAAAATCTTGGTTATTGAATTAGGTCTAATCTCCCCGTTTGTATTGTCATTCCACCTTTATTGTTCGTGTTTTAATTATCCCCTCCCCTTTTAGTCGTTTGAATAAATCTTTACCCCCCACCCCGGTGTTTTTTTTTTCTTGTGTTTTTTCTTCTTTTTCTTTGGTCACGTGGTATGATTTTGATAATCGCCTATAAATATACTGTTTCTCTTTTGCCTCTTTAGCCAGCTTTCCTGGCGATCCGCTTAGGTGAAACCTGGGTAGGTTTGTCTGGATTACTAGGTTTATCTCTCTCTCTCTCTCTCTCTCTCTCTATATATATATATATATATATATATATATATATATATATATATATATATATATATATCGTGAGGGCGATAACGATAGATAAAAACACACATATAACCAGATATATAAAACGGAGGAATCAGGCTGAGAGTAGTAAAAATAGATTATGTAAGAAAAAGAGAGGGGGATATATATAGAGAGAAGTTGTTGTAACCTAGAGAGGGTTACTGAATGAGAAGTAACCAAAATGGAGGTTGAAAATGAAATGGTAATCTTTATAACATCAACAAAATACAATACTCGCCAGCAGCATGAAGTAGGTAAACCACTTCTAGTAGTGGACTACTTAGACAACATATTACCACCTCCCACACTCACACTTACAATAGTGTCCAATATATTTATGAGGATTGGGACATACCCATTAGTGTTCATAGGTACTGTATATAACAATATCCTTTCCTCAATCTCCCCTCTTTACTCTTGCTCTGACTCCCAGTAACCCCTTGTGTGCTAGTGGCACTCCCACATTGCTTGGGATGAAATGCTTAAAACATATATGTAATCAAACAACTCCAAGAAATTACTTACCTTTCTGTTATAACCTAGGAAGGGTTACTGAAAGAGGAATAACCAAAACAGACGTTGGAAATGAAATTGTAATCTTTATAATGTCAACAAAATAGAATACTCGCCATCGGCGTGAAGTAGGTAATAAACTGCTAGTGGTGGACTACTTAGACACCATATCACCCCCACACACACACACACACACACACACTTACAATAGTGTCCAATCTATTTATGAGGATTGAGACATACCCATTAGTGTTCATAGGTACGGTATATAAAAGAAGTATAAAATTAAATATAGCCATGAAAGAGAGTGTGTGGAGGTGTGAGAGAGAGAGCGAGAGAGAAGAAAACAGAATTGCACTCTGCTTCTAAATGAGAATTTGACAAGGAAACCTTTATCTGTCTTCCATCAGTATTAATTAGCCTTACGCTAATCAGAATTTTATCAGCCATCACACATCACTAAAAAACAGTCTCCAATCTTGTAATTTTGTAGTCGCCAAAAATGAATCCTGGTAAACGTACAAAGCACAAAACGTCGGTGCAAAGACTTTATTTTGTAACACTAGTGACGGACGTTTTTATCTACAGTGATTAACAAACAGAACAGATCAGAAAATGTAAAAGAAAAAGAAAAACATTTCGAAAGGCTACAGTGAACAATATGAGGGAAAATAGATGTGAACAGAATAATAGATGGAAAGACATGAAGGAAGCCGGAGAAAGAGAGGAAGAGGGCAGCTAACTCGCCAGATAGATAGATAGATAGATAGATAGATAGATAGATAGATATGAACACTTGAGATTGAAAAAGAAAGAAAGAAAGAAAGAGAGAAAGAAAGAAAGAAAGAAAGAAAGAAAGAAAGAAAGAAAAGATAATTAGATTAAATAAAATATTGAGATATATATAGAGATAGAAAAAGATAGATATGAAAAGACTGGGATAGATAGACAGATAGATAGATAGATAGATAGATAGATAGATATGAACACTTGAGATTGAAAAAGAAAGAAAGAAAGAAAGAAAGAAAGAAAGAAAGAAAGAAAGAAAGAAAGAAAGAGAGAAAGAAAAGATAATTAGATTAAATAAAATATAGATATGAAAAGACTGGGATAGATAGATAGATAGATAGATAGATAGATAGATAGATAGATAGATAGATAGATAAGAATACCTCAGACTGAGAAAGAAAGAAAGAAAGAAAGAAAGAAAGAAAGATAATTAGATAAAAAAATATTGAGATATATATAGAGAGAGATAGAAATATAGATTATGAAAAGACTGTGATAGATAGATAGATAGATAGATAGATAGATAGATAGATAGATAGATAGATAGAGAGATATGAACACTTGAGATTGAAAAAGAAAGAAAGAAGAAAGAAAGAAAGAAAGAAAGAAAGAGAAGATAATTAGATAGATAAAAAAATATTGAGATATATATATAGAGAGATAGAAATATAGATTATGAAAAGACTGTGATAGATAGATAGATAGATAGATAGATAGATAGATAGATAGATAGATAGATAGATAGATAGATATGAACACTTGAGATTGAAAAAGAAAGAAAGAAAGAAAGAAAGAAAGAAAGAAAGAAAGAAAAGATAATTAGATTAAATAAAATATTGAAATATATATAGAGATAGAAATATAGATTATGAAAAGACTGCGATAGATAGATAGATAGATAGATAGATAGATAGATAGATAGATAGATAGATAGATAGATATGAACACATAGATAGATAGATAGATAGATAGATAGATAGATAGATAGATAGATAGATAGATATGAACACCCATTTAGATCTATAAATCTATATCCATTTATCTCGTTATGAGCTGTCTTACATCTGTCACCATTTCTACTCTCCCCGCCGGGGTGATGTGGGGGTAGAGACCCGGGTGTTTTCAGACCGCCCCCGGCCGCGATGTTTGCGATGGTTTCAACCGAAACACTTTGCGCCTACTGTGCAGCTAACGTCAGGCAGGAGTCAACGAGTTTTCCGGCTACCATCGATGATCGAGCGAACACAGATCATCCCGGCAGCCATCAATCACCGACGTAATGGGCGTCAGAGGTTGCCATAGATTTTCGTTGCTCTTGCTCGAGGATGAGTCTCTGTAGAGTGACACACGATAGAAGAAAAGGTAAAGAGGTAGGTAAACATACAGACATGTATAAACAGGTTGAATGAGAACAATAGGTAGAAGGGGAAAGAAACAGAAATAAGAAGACTAGGGGAAAATATTAGATAGGAACAGATTCAGATAGATCGATAGATAGATAGATAGATAGATAAAGAAAATGTGGATATATATACAGTGAGATAGAAAGATACATAATGAAAAGACTGAGATAGATAGATAGATAGATAGATAGATAGATAGATAGATAGATAGATAGATAGATAGATAAAATATGGATATATATATACAGTAAGATAGAAAGATAGATAATGAAAAGACTGAGATAGATAGATAGATAGATAGATAGATAGATAGATAGATAGATAGATAAAGAAAATGTGGATATATATACAGTGAGATAGAACGATACATAATGAAAAGACTGAGATAGATAGATAGATAGATAGATAGATAGATAGATAAAATATGGATATATATATATACAGTAAGATAGAAAGATAGATAATGAAAAGACTGAGATAGATAGATAGATAGATAGATAGATAGATAAAATATGGATATATATATACAGTAAGATAGAAAGATAGATAATGAAAAGACTGAGATAGATAGATAGATGTGTCAAACTGAGATAGATAGATAAAAATATTGATATATATATATATATATATATATATATATATATATATATATATATATATATATATATATATATATGCAGTAAGATAGAAAGATAAATAATGAAAAGACTGAGATAGATAGATAGATAGATAGATAGATAGATAGATAGATAGATCAAGAATGAAAGAAAGAAAAGATAATTAGATAAATAAAGTATTGACATATATAGAGAGAGATAGAATGATTATGAAAAGATAGATAGATAGAAAAAGAAAATATATATATATATATATGCATACAGTGAGATAGAAAGATAGATAATGAAAAGACTGAGATAAAGAAAGAAAGAAAGAAAGAAAGAGAGAAAAGATAATTAGATAAAGGAAGTATTGAGATATATATAGAGAGAGATAGAAAGATAGATTATGAAAAGACTGAGATAGATAGATAGATAGATAGATAGATAGATAGATAGATAGATAGATAAAGAAAAGACTGCTATAGATAAAGAAAGAAAGAAAGAAAGAATGAAAGAAAGAAAAGATAGATAAAGAATGTATTGAGATATATATAGAGAGAGCTAGAAAGATAGATTATGAAAAGACTGAGATAGATATGCAGATAGATTGACTGGTTGACTGACTAATTATGAAACGACAGAGACAGCTTTGTAGGTAGATAGATAGTCCGACAATCATTTTAATATATTTTCTCTTTATACGTTATTTTTATAGATACAAATATTTAAGTAAATGTTTTGTTTATAATAAACAGTATTAACAACATAATTAATAGAAATACAAATTAGTTACTTAGCTGATTGATGTTACATTCAGTGTATTCACACACGCAAAAAAATACCCTTGGGCCAGGTAGGAATTGCCTCTCTTCTTCCCACTCCAGCTATGGCCTAATTCGTAGCATTTGTATCAGTAAAAACATTATTATCTACAAAGACTTCCTATAATCTAGGAAAAACTTCGGGATTGGATTGAAACAACCTGCATAAGTTTGGTAATCCATAAAATACAAATCAATCTGAGCAATGCTTACTTCGTCTTGCAGAGTTGCTGTAAGTAGGTGATTTTTTTCTTATTGGCAATACCATTTTCGGCGTTTTGAATTTGCGCGTTTTGAGTAGCCATATATACTTTGATAGGGTGGTTCCTTTTGCATATTTACAGTTGTTAAATGATTCTCATGTCCACACTGCACCGATCGATATCTACAAAAGCTCTATATCCAATATTAGATATGGTTATCTAATAAATATAGCAAATATATATATATATATATATATATATATATATATAAGGCTCAAATGTCTTACTGAATCTATTGTTTATTAATGCACCATTTCATCTAATGAAAACCCAGATGTTAAGAAATTTTATATCGGTAGCAAAAAAAAAACTTTTATACTAAGATGGTATCAATATATTTCTTCTTTTGACAAGAATGCGTACCGTAACCGAACATCCCTCTCAAAATATTTTTGGTATTTAATAGAAATCAATAAAACCCCACAGTAAAGTGGAAAATTTAAAAAAAAAAAATGAATTTGTATGTCGTTAAATGACCCATGTCCCCTGTGTCTACATGAAAAGCAGCATATTATTAAGTTTCCTAAAAATAATAATCTCTTAAATCAGCGTAATAAACTAACTGCAATATGTAGGCATTGTGTAAAAATGTAGATAATAGAATTTTTCATGAAAAATATATGTATGACATTTAGATATCCATTATTTTAATTATATATATTAGTACATATAACATTTACTTAATTCCTTGGTGTTTTAACTATAATACTGGCATATTTTATTGTCCATTTATCTTAATAAGTATTGTATTTCGGGTTTATCGAGCACTTTTTTAAAAAAGTAAATGCTAAAGAACAGTAGATTCTTAATCTGTCTATTCTTTCCTTTTATTTGTACACACACACACACAGACACACAAATATATATATATATATATATATATATATATATATATATATTCAATAGAGGTGGATTCCTCCAGGTCATCGGGAGTACAGGTTTATCCCTTATTTCTCTCTTCAGGACTGGGTTTGCTATTCCGTCTAACGTCTCCCCACTTTTCTCTTTCTTTCTCTCTCTCTCTCGATATATATATATATATATATATATATATATATATATATATATATATATATATATGGGGGGTGTTTTGCTGATACCCCTGACCAGTTGACGGAGTAATT